CATAAGAATAAAAAAAAAAACTTTTAAAAACAAAAAAAATAAATAAATAAATAAAATAAAATAAAAAGAAAAAAATAAATAAATAAAATAAAAGGAAGGAAGTTGCCTGTGGGTGAGACCAGACCAGCAGGGCAGGGAGGGAACTGCCATACTGGAGATATAGAAGAGAATGACTCAGAGGCAAGGGCTGCCCAGGTAGCTTGATGGGGGAGCCAGAGTCCCCAGAGTTATATGATGGTGGTACCCACCTTGGTCTGGTACAGAGCCTTGGCCTCGGCCTTGCTCTTCTGGGCAATCACCTCGTACTGAGCGCGGACCTAAGCGATGATGCTGTCCAGGTCCAGGCAGCGGTTGTTGTCCATGGACAGGACCACAGATGTGTCACTGGTGTCTGACTGCATCTGGGACAGCTCCTGCAAAGCCAGCCAGACATGCCCATTCCTGAGCAGATCCAACACCAGGGCTCCCCAGAAGACTGGGAGCCGCCAGCTCAGGAGGGGTCAGGTCTGACTGAGGGCCGGGTGGGAAGGTACCACTTTTGTCAGAAGCACATGTGTGATTCAAGTGCCTCCTGGTAAAGGTCTGGTGAGCTCTGCCTTCTCCAGGAGGTGGAAAGTAGGTGGGCCAGGGGCTTGCAGGTGAGGAGCAGACTTACGGCATCGTAGAGGGCCTTCAGGAAGTTGATTTCATCTGTCACACTCTCCACCTTAGCCTCCAGTTCCACTTTGATCATGTAGGTAGCATCGACATCCTGAGGGACAGTTCAGTCACTGTCCCCTCCAACCTGTAGACTGGCCCAGTCCTGGGCCCTGAGGAAGGGGCCACGAGAGCCTGCCCCCCGGGGGCTTCCACTCAGGGGAAATGAGGCCCAGGCAGACATGTCCTAACAGGACTAGACTGCTGTCTGGCAGGCTGGCCTGGCGAATACCCGACAGAGAGGAGCAAAAGAGGCTAAGGGCTGAGAGGTGAGCGGGGCTGGGGCCACTACACCGGGTCCCTGGTGAGGAGGGTTTGTGAGGAGGGCCTGAGGGAGAATCTAAATTTGCAAACTAGCTCCTGGGAATGTACTCCTGAAAAAAACAAAACCCTATTTCTTCTCTTTGTCCATTTTCTAATCAAAACTCAAGGCCTATTCAGATTCATAAACCCCACGGGCCCATCAGAAGGGGCATGGCCAAAGTCTGGTAGGCCCTTTAGAGCCTGCCATATAGAATCTTCAGGCCCTGCTCGGTGGGCAACCTCCCTGGCCCGGGCCCTCATCCACATGGCGTACAGGAGACCCTCCGCTTAGCAGGACTAAACTCGCGCTTCCCCTCAACCTTTAAACCACTCTGCTTTGTGAGGCTTTGGGCTGGGGCTGAGGGTGGGAGGATCCTTCACCTTCTTCAAGACTACGAAGTCATTCTCTGCAGCTGTACGTTTGTTGATCTCCTCTTCGTACCTTTGAGAAAAGAGTCTCTTTCTGATCCGCCTTCTCCAGGATGTCCCTTTGGCCCTGAGCACTCCTCATAAGTAACATAGACTCAGGGCCTCTGCCGGTCTAGCTCAAAACATTTGTCAGTACAAAGCACAGCCTTCCAGATTCAGGTGAGAGTTTATCCAACAGACTTTACTGAGCATCTACTATGTGCCAGGTACCACTTAGTAACAATGATGGCAATTACCGGACACAGGAGTAGAAGCCTCTTCCTAGCAGGGTCCTATTTTGATTAATCCCAGAAGGCTTCCTGGAGAACTTGGGATTTTTTGTTCTGTGAGCTATTATATGAGCAGAGGGAGATGACTGAGCTGCCAGGAGCTTTCAGGGGAAGGTGTGTGGTGCCAACTCTGTGTATGGCAAGTATGGTAGCCCCATGGGCTCCCAGTAGATACTTCCTGACTTAATGAAAACCAAGAATGGGTCGTTAAGAATGTGCCAGATCCTGCTTCATGAATTATGCTTGTATTAACTCATTCAATCCTCATTACAGCAAATAGGGTCAATACTACCCCATCCCCATTTTCCAGTGAGGAGACTGTGGCACAGAGAAGCTGAGGCTCTTGCTCAAGATCCCAGAGCTCATAAGTGGCAGAACAGGGCTTGACAAAGGCACAGCAGGTTGCTACTCACTGAGAGGCTTATTGACGGGGGAAATAAAATTCCTATTTGGAGGGGAACCTGAAGACTGTCTAGCCCAGGGAGGACATAGGATGTTTTCTGAGTCTGTTAGGTTCATGAATGAGCTTCGGGGTGTCTTGGAACTCCTTAAATTATATGTATGTACCCTTTCATTAAATTCTCAAAAGGATATCTTTCTCAAGCAAGCCATGAGCCTCTCTTTTAAAGACTGGGATATTGAGAGTCAGAGAGGATGGGGTAAATTCCTGCAAGCTTGTGGCCAGCTGGAACAGAGCTAAGCTGGAGCCCAGGCCTCCTGCCATCCGCCCCTCCCCCTCTCCCGCCATCCAGCCCCACCCCGGGACAAGGGCAGCACGCACCTCTTCTTCAAGTCTTCCACAGTTTCCTCCATGCCCCTCAGCTCACCCTGCAGCTTGTCCTTCTCCAGGTGCAGCCCATCCAGGAAGGCCTTGAGGCTGCTGATGTAGTTCTCAAAAAAAGGCTCAAGGTTGTGGTTGTTGGTATTAGAACCGGAGCCCTGCTCCTGCAGGAGGCTCCACTTGGTCTCCAGGACCTTGTTCTGCTGCTCCAGGAAGTGCACCTGCCGCCCAATGAGAAGAGCATCAAGGAAATGTCTGGGGCCAGCTCCAGTCATGGTGGCTCATGACATCCCCAAACAAAGTCCCAGGGGTCTCCTCGTCTCTCCTGCAGGGCTGCATTTTGAATGCTGTGATAGTTGAGTGCTAACCCCCTGTGGACAGCAGTGTTGGTATGACGTGGGAGAGGCAGAGCCCGACTGTGCAGGTATAAGGAAACTGAAGCCCAGAGATGACAACAGTCACACAAGTCAGTAACAAAACAGGACTGAGGTTTCCCGATACTTACGCTTGATGATCTTCCTGCTATATCATTCATTCATTCATTCATTCATTCATTCATTCATTTATTCCTCCATCATTCATTCCTCAATCATTTAGTATTCAACAAATAGCAGGAGAGTCCAACATCCTAGAGCAGACATAGACCCCAGGAGGAGGTTTGCAGTACAGGTGGGTACATTGCATGAAGGTGGGAAAGAGCAAAAGCCATAGGGAAATGGCTTTCAGGCCGCCCTTGTCGCAGGAAACAGGGTCCAGAATCACCTAGAGTCAGCTCTCTCTGCCAAGCTGGTTAAATGTAGGGCTCAGCTGCATTTAAACTGCACCATTAGCTAAAGATGTCTCTAACTTTCATTTGCTGCAAAACATTTCTGCACACAAGTTCAAGACCAACTGCATAAACACGTGCAATAAATACCAATCAATCGGCCATTCAACAAACATTTGCCAAGCACCAAGCTCATGCCAGGCCCTATGCTGGACACTCAGGGCTCCAAGACCTGGGAATCCGCCCTGAAGGGTGATGAGAGCTGCTCCTGGGCCCAGCACTGGGGAACCAGCATGTCACATCACCTTCCACCTTTCTGTGAATACTCTACTGGGACACCAGGTGTCTGCTGGGAACAAGCAGGTCACTTGACTTTGAAGAGTTTCACCTCTACAAAGGTCTGGTATTTCAATGTTAAGACACTTTTCCTCCTTTGGCTTTGCCTAGGACACTGATGTAGGGTGAGGGGACCCCAAAGAGTCCCTATGAATCCTCTCTTTAAGGCCTGATATTTTCCCAGGATCACATAATACTCAACAGTATGGTTGAAACACTCAGCAGCCACCAAAAACCTAAATACCCTCTGGTGACCACAACAATTATCATAGTGTATACAAATATCAAATGGCCTCAACACTCACAGCTCCTCACCCTGAAGTCTTCCTGTGAGAACCACCGAGGAGGAGGTACCCCTCATCCCTACCCATCCCACCTCCCAAAACCTCTCTGCATCCCTCTTCATAGGCTGATGGCAGATGAACTCCTCTCTTAGACAAATCGAGCTTGGGCAGAGTCAGCCTCTCTTTCAAAGGGAAACAGCTCACAACTCCCCTGGCATAGGGAGGGAATTCTGTGTTTGAGTTTCAGAGAGCAACAGTGAGGGGACCTCCATGACGGCAACAAACAATCCCAGCAGTGCCTCTGACAAACCACAGTGATGGGGCATGTGACGGGTGCAGTAACTCCATCCAATATTTCCATCATCTGCTGTTACACCACTTGCTGACATGCCACAGAGGACGTGAAGTGTAGGATGAACCCACAAGTTCTTCCTCAGGTTCACAATGAGAAGAAGAAAAAGAGACCATCCCAGTTAAGCCGGGTTTCCTCACTGTCCAGCTGTCCCAAGATGGGCTCACCTTATTGATGAAGGAGGCAAACTTGTTGTTGAGGGTCTTGATCTACTCCCGCTCATGGGTCTTTACTTCCCCAATCTGGGGGTCGACCTCCACACTGAGGGGCTGCAGAAGGCTCTGGTTGACAGTCACTTCCTGGATTCTCCCAGAGAAGCCACCTGGACCACCAGGCCCACCAAAGCCCCCAGGGCCACCAAAGCCACCAGCTCTTCCACCAAAACTCCCAGCTCCTCTTCCAAAGCCACCAGCTCCTCCACCAAAACCCCCAGCCCTTCCACCAAAGCCCCCACCCATCCCTCTTCCACCACCTCCAAAACCACTGCCTCTGTGGGCCCCCCCAAACTCTCCAGCCCGGGAGCTGCCTCTGGCCAAGCTGATGGAGACCTTCTTGTTGCCCCCAAGGTCGTAGAGACTCCTGCTGCCAAAACCTCCTCCCATCATGGCACAGGCAGCAGACCCACCACCGCCCCTGCCTGAGTGGGATGTCGAGGAGGACCTGGTGGAGCTGACCCGGCTCTGGCCCAACACCACAGCTGAGTGGGCACTGAAGCCCTGGCGGCGGCCCCCGCTGGAAGATCTGCAAGATTGTTGGCTGTGGCTGGCCTGGCGATTCATGGCGGACAGCAAGGTATTCCAAAGGAAGGATGGATGGAAAAGCTAGAGGAAACTAGGACACCTTCTGAAGTTCTGGGCTGGGGATGGCCTTTATATAGGGCCAGGGAGCTTGGCTGGCTTGTGGTGCCAGCCAACTAATTGAGGTATTATCAGCTTTGGTTTGCCTGGCAGCAGGAGGCTGAGTCCAGAATTCATAACACACCTTGGTAATCACCCCAAATTTCCAGATTGCTTTGTTTTCCCAGGGTTACTCACCTGACGTAAGCTCAAGTTGAGAGAGGGGCCATCCAGCAGGGCTGGACAGAGCCCCTAATTCCTGAGAGATTTATAGTGCTGACAGGTCAGCATTTCTCTGCCTGTCCTGCATCCCCAAGGCCATTCTGCCAGCCCATCCAGCCTCAGAAGATTACAGGGATGGGTGCAGAGCCCCAGTAAGGAAGGGGGGGAGGAGAGGGAAGAAGGGAAGAGCCAGGAGGAGAAAGACTGAGGAGGTGGAGGGAGAAGCCAAAGTCAGGGAAGGGGCAGCAGCTCCCTCTGGGACTCTTGCTGTCCAGGGAGGAGAAAGCCCATGTGTGAAACACACATGAGACAAGTTCTCAGCCACGAGGGCTTTGGAAGGAGAGCTGAGGTGGGGTAAGAGAGAAAGTTCAATCTGAGAAGGGTAGGCAAGTGCAGTGGACCGAGAGGAAGTATAGACCATGGCCAAGGCCCATGAGAGGGAGGGGCAGGTGGGGAGAGAGGCCCACAGGGAGGGGAAAGCTGGACAAAGGCCAATCCAGCCAGGAAGAGGGGTCTAGACCACCTGGTCCAGGCCTGAGAAACCACCAGCCTTTCCTCTTCCAGGCTCACGTGAGGAAAATGAATGCAGGATTCCCAAGGCCTCCTCTCCTTGGCTCACCTGAGAGACACCACCTTCCCCATCTGGAAAGGTTGGGTTCCTCCCCAGGAAAATTTAAGAAGAACGAGAACTAAAAAATCACCTCCATTCTCCATTTGGGCAGTTGCCGCTGAACTTGACTCAGACTATTTGCAAATGAAGGCTCTCTTCCATCACGAGTTTTCTGAAGTATCTATTTATCATCGTGATGTATACTACAGGGCCGGTTACATCCAACACATCACGATCGAGAAGAAGATTTTTGTCCTAAAATTCTCTACATTGCTCTTTCTTCCATATGAGAAACAAAAGTTTCAGATATCTTCGCCCTCAGTGTTCCACGTTGTTGGAACACTACATCAGTATCTCCCACTAGCCTGTAGCTCACTTGGCCTCATCTCTAATTCTTTTCCTAGGACACACTGCCTAAAATCTAGAAATTTTACAGAACACCCATTGAATCTGCCCATTTCCCTTTTCTTATTGCCATTAAAGTTTTTGTTTTTTTTTTTTAAAGACGAAGGATGTCTATTCCTCCGGTTATCGAGAGGATCATGTATGAGAAAACCTCTCTCTAAATTGTGTGCGGTGTGAATGTAGGTCCCTTTTATAACACTGTCTCCTACCTCCCTTCAACAGCAAAGACCAGTCTTGATGACTCTGCTCCTGGCAGCGAAACCTGAGGCGCTGTCTAGAAAATGAGTCTCACCAGAGGCTGCCCCCCTTTACAGTGAGCCTCCCCTCTCCCATCCCATCTGGCCTCCATGCTCAGACACAGGCTCCCTGCAGAACCCTCTCTCTTCCATCTCAGCTTCTCCCCTCGTTCACCCCCTTCGCTTCTGGCCACTGGGCACCTACACTTGACACCAGGAGTGCAAGGAAACTGCTCCCTTACAAGCTCACTGGGGGAGGACCAGTTTAAACCAGTGACCTGCCAAACCTTGGAGCAGTTCCAAAACCCTTCAAACACGCAAAGTCACAAAGACGCTCAAGGAAGACAGGCTAAGAGAGTTTGGGCAAGTAGAGGTTCTGCCTGATCCAGCTCTCCCTCCCTAAGAATTCAGTCCTCAGACCACCAGACTTTCTACCTACCGAGAGAGAAGCAAAACACAACACGAATAGCGTGCATTCCCACTAACGCACACATACGTACACACATACTCACAAAACCACACGCTGTCATCACAGTGTCCTGCCCCGTGCGTGCTCTCTTTCCCTTTATGTCAGAGATGGGAACTGCCTGCCTTGCCCCCTTCAAAAGCTAGGTGCCCGCCCCATCCCTCCAAGGCCCTGATTCTTGCTCAAAGCATCTCGCTAATCTGAGAAACCAAGACACGGCAACTGGGTCTGAATAGGGGCCCAGACTGAGAGCTCACAACGCAGGTGCTGTCATGATGCAACCACCACCTGAGCCTTCTCCTTGTACAGCTTCCTCCTCTGCACAACTGGGGCTTCAGACTCGAGCAGGGGGCTCATGTTGGACCTGCCTGGGGTTCAAAGGAGGTATGGGCAGGGGAGAAAAGGGCCCCAGTGTCCTAGCCTCGTTGCCTCCACCACCTCAGCCTGCTGACATCTGTGATGCTGAGGACAGAGTCAGCCTGGGGAAAGCAGATGGAGGGTGGGTTGGTGACCAGGGGCTGTGGGGAGGGGACATTATAACAACACATAAAGCCACTGTCTTTGCAAGCCTGTGAGGCTGCTCCTGACTCCCAAACGGTGTTTTTCCAGTGTGGCCCATGCCTTCCTCAAAAGAGACCCAGGAGCAAATGAGGAAGTGTCGCACACTGTCTTCCTGCCCCTGCTTACCATTTTCTCCAATCCTTGCCATTAAGGGAAACACGGCAGAACAATTCAGTGATTTCCACCCCTTGATGGTTGCCAATGACCTGGCCCAGTTTGAATATGCTGAGAAGTCAGTTTGCATTTTAAACATCAAGAACAAATCCCAAAGAAATTGGGGTGGAAGTTTGAGGCTCTAATGAGGGCCCATCCCAAATCCCTTCTTCCTGGCAAAGCCCACTGCTAATCCCCCACACCTGCAGACTATAAAGCCCAGCCGCTCTTCTCGGCTGCCTCTTAGGGAGAGGAACAGAGCGTGCTGCTGACAAAATTAGCCCAGTTGGGCCTTCCCAGATGGGAGGGCACAGGGGCTTCTGGAGAGACATGGGGCCCTGCAACCCCTCCTCTCCATAGCCATGGCTATGCCTCCCAGGCTGGTACCATGACCAAGGCCCCCTCTGCTCTGGGGAAGCTGGGCCATCCTTGGGGGAATTAGGGAGGCAGAGGAAAAATTGCTCCTGACTGCAGGGATTCCCGGCTTCTCTGGGGAAACAGGGCAGTCAGATGCAGGCGCTCAGGGTTAAGGAGCAGCTTAGTAACGCATCTGATGGCAGCTGGTGGCGGTTGACGTGGGCCAGGGACAGAAGGGGGTAAGTGAGGCTGGGAAGGAGTTGAGGAGGGAGAAGCATGCAGGGCTGTGTCAGGATGGGGGGCACTGGGTCGGGGGGTGAGGAACTGAGCTCTGGTGTCCTGTGGTCTGCGATCAGAGAGAACGCAGCTCCATAAGGAACTGTTATCCCATACCAGGTGAGCTCTGATCCAAGTCTCACTGAGGGACCAGCTTCACTGAATCTATAACTCAGCAGCTGCAGCCCTGAGGGACAGGGCCCCTGATGGGTGGGTGGCCTCCTCAAAGTGCCCAGACCCTGCCACCCCAGGAGACCATCAGGGCTGTGCCATGGAAAGCGGCCTGCGGGTGCCTGGGTGGCTCAGTCGGTTAAGCGTCTGCCTTCAGCTCAGGTCATGATCTCAGGGTCCTGGGATCGAGCCCCACATGGGGCTCCCTGCTCAGCAAGGAGTCTGCTTCTCCCTCTCCTCCCCACTCGTGCTCTCTCTCGCTATCTCTGTCTCTCTCTCAAATAAATAAATAAAATCTTTTTTAAAAAAGCAGTTTGCACAGAAACAGGAAGCCCTTCTCCTAGGCTCCAGATCCCTCTGGGCCGCCATGTAGCCAATCAGAATGGAGCTGAGAAGCCCCTGCTCTGCCCATGGAGCAGAGCGGCTGCAAGTTGGGAGTTGAGGTCAGTGCAATGAAGGGCTTTATAAACAGAAGGACAGATGTGCTGTGTTAACTGAGGGATGGTAATAGTGGCAGAAAAGCAAGCGGCGGCATGCTGGCCAAGTGCCAGGCTCAGTGATTGACATTTACAGACCTCTTCCCTTCCACCTGCCCCGAAACCCTATAGGGAAGGGCACGGAGCTCCATTTCACAGAAGAGGAAAACTGGGACTCAGAAGTTAAATCGCTTGTCCAAGGGCCCACAGACAGGAAGTGGCCTCCGATCCAGTTCTGTCCCAGTCTGGAACCCATGTTTGGGGAACAGCCATGCAAGACTCAGGCCTCGTGAAAAGGCTCCCTGTGTGGGCCCCCCAGGGAACTCTGTGTTCCCACCCAGAGCTCAGCTCATGGAATAAGCCCTGACCTTGAACAATGGACTGGGATTTGATCAAGTTCAGGAAATGGCGGATGAAAACAGAGTACGGAACAGGGAGAAAAGGCACAAACAGGACCCTACTCTTGTCTAAGCATGGTCCCCAGCAAGGGCACTTTGTGTTAGTTCCCCAGCAGAGGGGACAGTTTCTGCTGCCCCATCTCACTTTTTCCTAGTCAGGCTCACAGTCCCAATTTTGCAAGCCAATGGGCCACAGGCCAGAGGCCACAGGCCAGAGCCATGCGCATTGAAGATATTCTATAAATGTCAGACGCTATTAAGTGTTGGCACTTATGCTTATGAGGCTGTGGCTTGGCATTTTTTGGAATGACACTGAGCGGTTCACAGCCAGTAGCCCAGTCTCTAAACGAAGCCCTAGGGTGAGGCTCTTCTGCCCTCCCCTTCACCTGCTCCCCAGCCACCCCTTCCTGAGCACCTTTCTGTGCTGGGCACTGTGCTGACCTCTTCTGACTGGTTCCTCCTCTGTCCTAGGGACCATGAAGCGTCCTCTGACTTAAAACCCCCTTCCCCTTTTCTTTACACCTAAACTGACCCATAATTTAGGAACGAGCAAGCAGCCCAGCCCCACATCGATGTCTTGTATCATTAGCCTAGACCCTTGAGCTCTCGTAA